TGTAAAGTCTACGACTCTTTGCTGTTCCTCCCACCGGACCTGCAGGCGGCCCACGGGTTGACATGTTGCGCCCTGGCGCTGTCTGGAGTCGGGCTGCTTGTTACTCTCTTGTGGGCCTCCGTTGCACCTTGTGTCTCACGGATCAACCACGGGCCAAAAACCTCACTGCGATGGCCACAGGGGTGATGCAGATTTTAGCATCTGTTTGTGTAATCATCCCGGTCTCTTGGACGGCCCACACCATCATTAGAGACTTCTACAACCCTCTATTGATTGAAGCTCAGCGTAGGGAACTAGGAGAGGCGCTGTATATCGGTTGGGTAACTAGTACTTTTCTGTTGGCCTCTGGAATTATATTTCTCTGTCGTCGCGTTGGTCCAAAATCAGGCACATTTTATGCTCGCCCACCAGCTAATAAACCCATTTTTAAACCGCTTCCAGACCTTTAATTCTATAAGACACCAGCCTTTGGTCCAGAGCAACAGTCTTTCCATTCAACAGCCTTCGCCGTCCGCTTTCAGCTACGCCATTACTTGATCAACTAGTGATCAACATTCACCCTACAGCATGTAGCCGGTGGCTGGCCACAGGGTCTTGTTTTAGTGTACAGTCAGAGCGCTCAGAACCTGAACTATTATGGCCAAAATATAATGCAAAGCCAGTACATACCTGTAAACATGCATTACCCGCATCAGCTTTCGACACACTTCAGAGGAAGCAACGACAGTGATCCGTTCACTTCATACTCCACCGGATCCACGTTTCATCCTGTGCCGCAGAACCCGCTCTTCATAGGGTACAAATCATAGACTGTATAAAAACGGGTACAAATTCTCCAGGGCAGTGTTGCCAAGTCCGCCGTTTTCCCGCGGTATTGGGCTACTTTAGCACTGTTGCTGCGGGTTGTTTTTCATGTCCGAGGGTTGAAGCGACACCAATTACATGAGATTTATCCCCTGGAATGCGAATTTTAGCAGGGGAACCCAGCCAAAAAACGTGTACTTTAAACACCCCAAAGGCGATATTTAACTGGGGACCCTCTCGAAACGCAATTGGGCTGTTTTTGAGTAGTGATTGGGCGGGTTTTCTTGTGAAAACCCGGCAACCCTGCTCCAGGGTGCAGTCATACAGCTCGGACAGTAGCTCTGGATTGATGTATTTTTGATGTATTTCGACATTTTTTTTACTTGAAAAAAATATATGCTTTTAAAAATGTGTTTCCAATGTGTTTTTTTAGGGGGGGTGAAGCTCTTCAATGCAGTGATTTTCAACCTTTTTCATTCCAAAGCCCCCCATTGTCAAAGACAATATTTTCTATTAATATATAATTAATATTCTCTGCTCTTTTTCTTTTTTTTCAGACAAAGAAATAAAATAAAATAATTATAATTATATTATATAATAAAATAAAATAATTATAGACAATTTATATATATATATTCCATAATTCCAGAAGTTTCAATAACTCAGGGTTCTTCTTGGTTTACTGGGTTTACTTCTTCTTCTTTTTCAATTAATTTACATGACTTTTTAGTCATTTGTGATTGTTTAATAGATTTGTTACTTACAAATAGTAATTTCTTAGCAATCTCTACCCAATAAAATATTTTAGAACTTGACATATTCATTTTAAAACATTCTTTAAAAAAAAAGATTTTATTAAATTCCAGTGTACTTTTGCAGGTCTAGAAATCACATTTTTAATATTTTCCCTCATATCCAGGTTTTCCAGGAATTCTTTCATATTCAAGACTGACTGTGAGAACCCTGGTTCTTAAATAAAAATGGCAGATTAAAACGAAAGCTTACTTTTTTTTAAAGCTGCTGTAGTTTGTTTTTAGACCGTTTTGTCTTATTTTAAGCTATCTGTGCGCTGCTTGGAAGTCCTGGCCCCTTGGTTGAGAACCACCACTTTAAGAGACATTAAGTTTAATTTTGTAGTGAGTATTACACACTTTTTAAAAGAGAGACTAAGAGCAAGAATGTACAGTACAATATTCAATGCATGCAACATATAAATCACAAATTAATTGATTAAAGTAGAAATTTTGAAAAAGTAGAAATAATTTTCATAGGGCTCTTAAAAGTGTGAAATGGATTTATATTTTTGCTTGTCTGCTTTCAACGTCCCATATGAGAACAGAAGCTATTGAAGGTTTTGTAACTATCATGGTGTCATTTTCCTGCAGCTCCAGATTCTCCAGTGTTTGTCCCATGAGCTAAAATGGCAGCATGCAGGTGAAATACAGGGAATCCTGCACCGGATGAGCAGCTGCCCTTGAATGTGAATAGAGAACTCCAGGTAAAATTGTTAATGGATGCCGAGCTGAAGTTGTGAACTCAGTGCTGCAGTTGTTTGTTATGCCAAAAGCATTCAGCCCCCATAAACAGTCTTTGCTTCACATTGGGGCACGTGGACAGCAAACACTGAATCAGTATATGGCACATCAGACAGGTTTTAGTCCTGTGGGAGGATATCTGCTGGCAGTTAAGAAGCAGTATGTTATTCTGTAAATAAACAGCTGTGAGTTTCTCCTGGAGCTGAGAACATGACAATATTTGAAGAGATGTCGAGAATCTCCCATTATTCTGTTTTTGACAATCAGAGGACTAAAATTATACTGCATCTTTATAATTTTTTTTATTTCAATATGTACAATAAAATTGTAATAAAATAATTTATTGCAAATTATTCTATGCACTGTTTTCCAAGTCTTTGCTGTTTCTATCAAATGTGGCTGTAAAGGAGCCGACAAGATGAGAGGCATGCGGATCCATATGCAAGCTTAGTTTTTATTAATAAACATGGTCAAAAAACACAGGCAGGGTCGAACAACAGCAAACAGGTATGGCACAGGCACAGGGATGCGGGACGTGGGAAGTAGGGGTGCTGAGGGGGCTGCAGCACCCCCTGTTTTCACATGGTTGCAAATGCAACGCCAAGTTTGTTCATTTAAATTTATTCAGTTTTAGCATTTAATAATTTATTTGTAATGATCTCTGAAATGTAAATTGTCTTTATAAACATGATTAATTTTACTTGTGATGTTTTCTATATGGGATGATTAGCCTAATCCTCATGAACACGTGACGCTAGCCCGTGGTATCAGACATGAAAATTTCAGATTTTTTTTAAATGCCCATCCCAGCAAAAACTTTCCAAAATCAGCATCCAAATAACCCCAGCACGAGCACCGACATAAGTGAACAGACTGATTTATATAGTGTGTGTTATTGGTAGCAGCTGTGTGTGATTGGTTTCAGGTGAGCTTGTGATTAGTACAATGGAGCATGGGAAATGTAGTCCAGGGTAATGTGTAACAGTCTGTGTGGTGTGAGATTCGGTATAGTCAAGTCAAGTCAAGTCACCTTTATTTATATAGCGCTTTTAACAATACAGATTGTGTCAAAGAAACTGAACAGCATTAATTAGGAAAATAGTGTGTCAATAATGCAAAATGACAATAGTAAGCACTAATTTTTCAGTTAAAGACAGTTCATCATTGGATTCAGTGATGTCATCATCCAGCTCAATTCAGTTTAAATAGTATCTGTGCAATCATTTGCAATCAAGTCAACGATATCTCTGGAAATGAAGAGTCCCCAACTCAGCAAGCCAGAGGCGACAGCGGCAAGGAACCAAAACTCCATCAGTGACAGAATGGAGAAAAAACCTTGGGAGAAACCAGGCTCAGTCGGGGGGCCAGTTCTCCTCTGACCAGACGAAACCAGCAGTTCAATTTCAGGCTGCAGCAAAGTCACATTGTGCAGAGGACTCATCTGGTTCCTGTGGTCTTGTCCCGGTGGCCGTCTGAGATAAGGTCTTTACAGGGGATCTGTATCTGGGGCTCATCTAGCTGTCCTGGTCTCCACTGTCTTTCAGGGCTGTGGAGGTCCTTTCTAGGTGCTGATCTATAATGGGAAAGCGACCTCTGGTGGCAATCGGACAGAAGGCCACGGACCGGATTTGTTACAGTGGCTTTGAGAGAGAACTTTTATTAAATAGGCCTAGAGAAGAGGGTTATTGTCACAAGGGTTAGTTCAGTTTTAACTCCAAAGTTCAATGGTAAGACTGATTTTTGTGTGTTTCATTGTTGTTTTTTTGTTTCATTTTCTTGCAAGGCTGTTATTGACTTTCAAAAATAATGTGACAACTTGCCCCGGCCTCCTCTAGTCATTATGATGATCAACCAGTAGATGGCCTTACAAGTGTATGGTGATTTAATCCGTTTTTTTTGTTGTTGACATTTTATAAATTGTAAGCTGCATTGCAAATATTTTTTAGAGATTTTTCCCTTTGCTACACTATAAAGAAACTCACAACGACAACAAAAATTTATTGCAATTCATAGTCAAGTATGTTAGACACCATAGTGTCATACTCGATTCCTGGAGGGCCGGCGCCCTGCAGAGTTTAGATTCATCCCTTATTAAACACACCTGATCCACCTAATCAAGTCCTTCAGGCTTATATGAAAATTACATGGTATCTGTGTTGCAGCAGGGTTGGAACAAAAGTCTGGTCTCCGGCCCTAGAATCACATGATCTGGCTTTGTTGGGGCTGAACTCTTCTCTCTCTGAATGATCTGTGATTCAGATCCTGTCTCTGTAATCCCTCTAATGCCATATAAGCCCATTGTCACAATAACCTAAAGGATGGGTAGTAATCACCTCCTAAAGCAGATCCAGAGTTTTGAAAGCTCTCATAGACAGTTAAAACAGGACCATTTTGATTTGAGCACGGAAAATTAGGCTATTGATCTGACTTGTTGATATTTGTGGGAAAACATTTATGATAGGCAACTTCTCGAAGTAGATGTACTGACACCTACAAGATTAATTTTGAGAATGATTTAGATTAAAAGTAGGTCAAACTGCTGTTGAATAAGGTGTCTTCCCATTTGGTGAAATCACAGACAGCGAGTGACAGATAAAGGGGTATTTAATCCGCTGGCAGATGTGCGTTTCCATCAGAGCTCCGGCACAAGATTTAATCATTTCCTCGGTGTACCAAAGAGCAAAGACGTTGTCGAGGTCGACTGCTGCCAGATTTGAAGTTAATCTTCACAACGGATCCATGTTTGCGGATCAGAGAGTCGCCGGTGCCCTCAATTGAGCCTGTGCGCACGGACTGGGGGTCGCTTTCCGCGCGCTCGGTCCCTGATCGGCACCGCTATGTCCTGAACGCGCCGCGGGAGGGATGCTCATTCACGGTGACTTATTCTGGAAAGTGATGCCCAGTTAGCACTTATGGATGTGAGGATGGGTGACTCCCACCAGCACGAGTGAGTGGAAAGATGCTGCTCGGATGGAAATTATTCCTGTTTGGATACAGAAAGAAGAAGGAGATGGATGTTGAATGTTCCTCCTGCAGGTGCAGCATGCTGAAGGGGACAGGCGTGAGCTTCATCCTGCTGTGTCTGATGGCAGAGGTCAGTCTCAGCGCGCAGCAGGTCTTGAGGATCGGTGAGTAGGAACTTCGGCTATAAAAACCTAAAACTGCTTTATGGGTATTAACGTTTTTGTAGCTACTATGAAAGTGTGTTTTTGTGTTTGTTTGTTTTTTGCCTTGTGACTCCAAAACGTATTTGGACGCTTAAAAACTTCTGAATGTCATTGCGTTATATAGCAAACAAATTCAATTTGTTCAATTTTTAATTCTGTGTTGCTAGTGCATGTGTTCAGCCTGGAATACTCACTTCTATGCACTTCTATGAAATGTGTTATTGTGGTCTTTTTTATCTGCATACAAATGTATAAAAATCGCACAAACAGAATATTTTACAAAAAGAAGTGCACTGTAAAATGATTTTTCATTGTTGTAAATAAAACAAAGATTATTGGAGTATATGTTTTGCAAGAAAATGCTAATTAAGTCTTTCTACTTAAACGTTTCCACTAATTTCACATTGAATTCAATGTTGTTTCTAGCAGTATATTATATATATA